GTCCATTAACACATCTATGATGAAGTTGAATAGAAAAGGAGATAATGGGCATCCTTGACGGACACCACTGGTCGTCATCAGTTCAGATGACAGCTCGCCGTAAGCCCTCACCTGGCTGTATGAGTACGAGTAGAGTGCCTTAATCAGTGCAATATATTTTCTCGGAATTCCCTTTACAGCCAAGCATCTCCAGAGAACTTCCCGATCGACAGAGTCGAATGCTGCCTTTAGGTCAAGAAATATAATGACTGTTGGACGCCGGTAGGAATGCCTATGTTCTAGAATCTGTCGGAGGGTGAAGATATGATCAATACACCCTCTTCCTGGTCTAAAGCCTGCCTGGCTCTCTCGTGTTTGTGCTTCCCGAGCACCACTCAGTCTACGCATGATTATTGAGCCTAAGACTTTAGATACTATATTAGTCAAGCTAATCCCTCTGTGATTATCACAGGAAGACTTGTCTCCCTTCTTGTATATGGGGATAATCAGTGACTTACACCAACCCGATGGGACTTCTTCTGATTCCCAGACGCTGCCTAGTACCTCAGTTAATCCGGACAGTAAGCTGTCTCCACCGTACTTAAATACCTCTGGAGTCATTCCATCAGGTCCCGCTGCTTTGCCTAGTTTCAGATTGGTGACAGCTTTAGTAACCTCAGTTAGTGACGGAGGACCTGTGTTTATATCCCATTCAGGGAGGTGTTGGATGCTCGGAAGGTTGAGCGTGGCTGTGGGCAAATTAAACTGCTCCTCATAATGCTCTTTCCAACGATCCAGTCGTCTATCCTGGGAGCTAATTATAGTGCCATTTTTTTCCGAGATTGTCTCACTAATGATTTGTCTTCTCCCACCCGTTTCCCTGATGAGTCCAAAGAGTTGCCTGGTGTTGCCTATCCTCGAAGCTTTCTCCATCTCTTTGGCTTTTGTCGCCCACCACTGTTCACGGTCCTTGCGGAGACTTTTCGTAAGTTTCCTCTTGTGCAGCTTTCGCTCCTCATTGAATTCGGAGCTCGCCGGAATAAGTCTTCTAGCATCTATCAGTTCGGATGAGGCGGTGGAGATCCAGTGGTTTTTACTCACCTTTGGGTTTACCTTATTCACAGCTTTTACAGCTGTATCTATGGCTGCCTGGATATTTTTCCAAGCTTCTTCAGGGTGAGCACAGCTGTCGAACACAGATATGTGTTTAGCTAGTTCTTCCTCAAATACGGATTTAGTTTCCTGATCGAGCTGGGGACGTGATGGTTTTACCGCCAGCTGTTTCCTACGTCCGTTCAGTCGTAAGCACACCCGAGCGCGGACCAGTGCATGGTCGGTATCTACGCACGTGTTCCAGAAGGAGCGACAATCTCCTACCGACCCACGCCAACGATAGCTTATTGCTATGTGGTCTATTTGTGTCCAGCGTTGGTTTGATGAAGGGGGTCTCCAAGTCAAACAGTGTCTCTCCTTGTGTTTGAAGTTAGTGCTTACAAGAAACAAATGATTATCAGAGCAGAACTGTAGGAGACGGTCACCGTTGTCGGTTCGCTGGCACGGAACTCCATAGGTGCCACCGACATCCTTCTCAGATTGACACAATTTCCCTACTTGAGCGTTAAAGTCACCAGCTAGAACGACTATGTCTGAGCGTTTAGCCTTTCGCACCAAACTAGACAGCTTTTGGTAGAACTCATCCTTCGTTTCATCTGAACTGCAGTCAGTGGGGGCGTAGGCGGAGATTACGAAAAGGCATCGGCGAGTAGTGCAGTCCTTCCTCCTTCTTACTGATCCGTTCAGGCGGACAGCACACATTCGGCTATCTACCGGGATCCAGTCAAGCAATGTCTTTTCTGCCCTAGTACTCAAAGCTATCCCTACGCCAGCTAATCCTCGTGAACTAGCTGTGGCATCTCCTGACACCCTCAAGGTGAATTTTGCAGATTCAACCTGTTGGCCAGGTGGGGTTAGGTGAATAACCACACTTGGGTCTTGTATGCGTGTTTCTGAAACACAGCATACATCAATGGCTCGTGATGCCAGGGTCTTGGCTAGTGATGCTTGTTGTCCTATTTGGCAAAGTGTCCTAACATTAAGAGCTCCTATATGAAATTGGTGGCGCGGCTTTAAGAGGCTGTCGGTGGTGGTTTTTTGGCTTCCATCGTTTTTAGTGGACGCAGAGTGGAGAGGAAGTGGAGAGCTATCAAGTCGAGGAGTTGCATCAGTGGAAGGAAGGCAAGATGATAGAGATGAAGATGAAGACAAAGATGAGTGAGTAATAGAGAGGTTTCGCGTGCATTTCGGATTGTGAGGGCGATTGTTACTTCCCGGCTGCCCACACCGTGGAAGTTGGTTGCGTGACCGCAGAGCCCAGGGGACAACTGCTTGAGGCCGGTCACACGCGGCCTGTTTTTGTTTGTTCTCTTTTGTTTGGTGTGTCTCAGTAGCATATTTATCACTCCTGCCCTGTGACACGGCAGCAGGAAGCGCGGTCGTTGTTAATCCGGGCCACGGCCGATCCGGCATGAAATTTTGTGATTTTGTATTGGACATGATGTTGGATTGGGTAGCTGCTTTTTGTTTAACCGCTATCCAAACAACCTGCCTGGCATGGTAGGACCTCAAGAGACATAAGTCTCAGCCAGTATAGCTTGAATAGATCATTGCGGTGTTCAAGCCCGACCACCACGTCAAGGTAGCAGCTTTCGGTCGGGAACAACCTTCATGGCGTGGTAGGACCTGCAGCAATAATAGTTCCAGCCAGAGTAGCTTGTTGGGTCATTGCAATGTGCAAGCCCAATCACCACGTCAAGGTAGCAGTTATCGGTCGTAAGTTGTAAAGTTATCTTTAAGGTGCGTATGAATAATACAGTTATTCTGTCTATAATAATAACAGAACTAACTTCTAATACTTAACACAAGTGAAATCGAAACATTAATTCAAGCAGCTGGTTAATGCAGTCAGAAACATTACCGAGAAATGAATAAGATAATTTCAAATCATATACATAACGACAAGAGGTGTCTCCCATGCGCCCACTGGATAACGCTATAGCACTTGAGGCCAGAAGAAGGATTTATGTCTCAGTGGGAATACTACACTACACAATTACTGAAGACTTAATATATATGGAACTTCCAAGTTTCGAAATGGGGAAAAACGTGCATCCTGACTTCTGCTGCTAGATTATTTCTGAATTAATTCCCAACGCGCATGAAGGTGCGAGTCGGGCATCCTAGAGTTCCGCGTAGAAGATGGTGTGAAGAGATGAGAAATTATAGGAAGCCGTGGAGTCAGGTAAAAAATAACTGCAGAGAACAGGATGAAATGAAAATGTGCTATAGAAGCGTTATGTTCACATAAAAGTAAAATATCCGCACCAGGCATTTCGTGAGAATACACTACAGTATTATCATCAAGCGTGCTCGAACTTGGTTCTCTCTCTCTCTCTCAAGAAACACCATTTCATCATTAACTGGTTTTGAGATCAATCATCGCAATGCAAACAAATAATTACACAGATATTGTAAGTATTCCACCTTGTGACAAAATTGAAAAACGTTAAGTACAGGACCCACATTATTGACATATATTTCTCAACCTACAGCATTCAGATACTAGTTGTTAGAGTGAAGCATCTAAGTCGACTTGTTTTTAGGTTAATTTTTACTTCGTCTTGATTAATTATATTAGATCGAATTGCTCTGTCCCTGTTGTGACATGTCAGTCCCTAGTAGGGACGCTTCGATGATGTCTCAAGATTAACATGAAGCTATGCAGCGATTTGGTTAAGTTAAATGGAAAAATGTCTTCATACTTCATTGAAATTTGGAGTGCAGTCCTTTGACAAGCATACAAGATTAGACTAAGAATTCCGATAATTTTTTTTAATGATAAAGTTTCCAGCTTCGAGGGCAAACATAATAAAGAACTCACTAAATTAAGTCAAATTCCCAATTTAAACAAAATGTCAAATTTTCAAGTATTCGTTGGTAAAGATCTTGTTTGAATGGTTGGAGGGTTTCATTATGAGCTGACATCGGTTACAGAACCTGGTTACGGAAAACTGGATAGCTGTTTCCTCCGTCCTGGTTTGGGACTCTTCAGCAGTACGCACCCACCGGGGTCGAAGGTGAGGACACTTACTCATCGAAGAAATTGCTAAGTGGTCAAACTATGTCGTGAATTGGCAGAAGTTAGAATTCATGGACCTTCAGAAAGGGTCTCAGTAGCTTAACGGTCCACGAGCTCACTTGTAGCCAGAAGGTCCTGGGTTCGAACCCCGGCGGTGGGTATGGACTTCTGAGGAGTCCCAAACTAGGCTGACGAAACAGCTGTCCAGTACTCCCAGGCTATCCAATGGTTGGTTCCCTAACTCATGTCAGCTCATGACGAAATCTTCCAACCAATCAAACATAACGCCTGCAAACCAATACTTGCGAATATAATATATTTAGTTCTTATAATTCTCCAAGATGACTGAGATACCTGGAGTAATTTAATGTAACCTAAGTGAATGGAACATCAATTGCAACAATATGAGGAAAACCAGAAGGTGGAAAAGGTGTACAGTGTTGGATGATTAAATTTTGACATACATACGGTTATTTTCTATTAGGAATTTTAGGAAGTATTTTGCATGACGCTTTGTAGAAATGTGAAATTAAAAATAATTACCCATATTCTACAAACATTATAATAAGTTAAATATCTGCTAGTTAGTGCACTCATTTGTGCGTCGGTGGTTCTGTGGCAGAATGCCCTTCCCCCCCTTCAATCACGTATGTGGTCCGAGGAGGTTCTATCTTCCCAAACGACACCAGTAGTGTGTCCAGTAAAAAAAAAGGAAAAGTTGGAAGTGACACTGGTAACCATAACCCATGTAAAAAAAGGCATCACCGCTACTGAAACTTCAAAACTCGGACCTAAAGCTCAGTGTTCCACTGGGAGAGCAAAAAAAAATGAGCTCATTTACAACAACAATACACCCAAAAAAAACTAAACACAAAAAAATACTTACGAATAATCGAATTCTGATGTAGGCAGCCTTGGAGGTAAAGGTGGTGGGATAACAGTTGAACTAGTTACAACACGAACAGGAGATTCATCTGTAGAATTTAAATTCATATTTTCCATTTCAAAACCAATAAGATCATTGGTTGATGATATACGATTTGTTTCACTATTATTAAATTGCAATGATAAATTATCTCTACAGTTTAAATCTACACAACTGCTGACTGTATGCAATCCAGTATCGTGTTGTACAAATAGTTCATTTGGAATTATTGTAGTAGTATTCAACTTTGTTAGGGATTCATGAACAGGTGATGTAGTTGCAGAATGTGATGATGATGTAAATATTTTTATCACTGATTCATCATTCTTATTAACTTGAGATAATAAATTCAAAGAATCACCTGTTTGATAGGTTTCTGAACCTTCTATTGCTATTGAATTAGGCTGATTATTTGGATTGGAAAGATTTCGAGTAACTGGTGGTGCTGGTCTCGGTGGAGGAGGACGATTACGAGCTGAAAAAAAATTTGAGAAGCAAAAAACAACTGACTGATTTACAAGTTGAGAGGAAGTATCAATAAAAATAATTAGGAAAAATAACACAACTAAATAGCAACATTCTGCACATTTACTGGATGTCTCCTAAGTTATTATTATTATTATATCCTTTAATTCCTAGAGGAACATAGGGCTTCAGCTGCGCATCTCCATTGCCTTCAGTTTTCTGCCAACTTTTTCACCCCGCTCCAAGTCCGCCCACATGCTTTCATCTCCTCTTCACATGACCTCCCACAAGTCACCCTTGCACTGACGATCAACTAGCCGCTTCTCTTTCGGGTTCCACTCGAGTAATGGCTTGTCTAGTGATGCTACTTGATGGTTTCCTCAGTGTATGGCCAATCCATCTCCATTTCTTCATGCATATTTGTTTCAATATCGGTCCCTGCTGGGTTGGTTCGCTCATTCCCAGAGATCCCTATTGCTGATCTTTTTTGGACGGTCATCTGATCTTGAGTATTGAGCGAAGACAACTGTTGATGAAGGTCTATAGTTTGTTTGAGATGTTCTTTATGACTCGCCAAGTCTGATCCGTATAGTAGCACTGACTTCACATTGGAGTTGAAAATCCGGATCTTATTTTTGATGTTGAGTGCTGTTGACTTCCACACAGACTTGAGAGTAATGAAAGCTTGCCTTGCTTTTCGGATTCTTGCTTTGATATCCTCGTCAGTTCTGTCGGCCTGTAGTTGAAAAGATGCTTCCCAGGTAGGTATATAAAATACAGTAATCGAAATAAAATTGGAAGGTTCATGATAAACTATTAATTTATTTTGTCACTGCATCAGAGTTTTATTGTACATCGGTAGTTCAGTGACAGAATGCTCGCCAACCACGTACTTGGTCTGATTCCCTGCTGGATGTACTCCTAGCCATCGCCTGGACGATACGGTTGGTAAAGAGAGAAGACTTGGCATAAGGCTAGCAACCTCACGTTGTAAAACACAACATAAATATTACTGAAACTTCAGAGCTGAAGCTTGAAGCTCTCTTCCACTCGGAAGGCAAAGGAATGCAAAAAAGTAACCCAGAGGTTTATTGGGACTCAGGAGTAAAGATTTAAGATTCTTTAGTAATGAATAAAATCGATTTAAAACAAATTGGCAAAATGGCAATGTCTTGTGGAAGAAGAAGAAGTCCTTACTTACATTGTGTACCTGCAGACGTAAATGAAGCATTTGTACTGATCTCACCGTCTTCATTATCACTAGCATAGGCTTGATCATTTTCATCGAACTGTCGAATACCATTTTTTGTTGAAGGCAATGCTTCAAAAATGTCTGGTGTTATCTGACTACCATGCATATTAGATTCTTCACGTTCTGAAATCTCAATTATCCTTTGCATTGTTGCTAACCAATCAGTCGATTGGTATAATGAGGCAGATAGATGAATTTCATAACCATCAGATTCTACTAGCATATTGTTTAACGAAGAATTCAGAGGTATAATATAATTGTCTAAAAACTGTGCAGCAATACTTGCCTGCCTGAAATGAGAACATGTTATGCAAAAAAGAATCGTTACCTGATATCATATGACATATAAAAGGATATAAGTTTACAAAAATTAGAAATGTGAGAAAGCATACTGCATGAAACACTGTACCCAAGACTGAGATATTCTGAAAAACTGTAGATAAGGTGTAAGTGTTTCCAAGTGCTCGATTTGCGGGGCGTTGCACCTACATTTCCTAATGGACCAATATCTCAGATTAGCAGAAATTAGAACTGATGTGTAGCTTGATACTGACTAGCCCTCAGTTGGTTGAATGGTAAACATACTCACCTCGTAACCTAAAAGTCCTATATCCGACACCTGGTGCAGACAACAGGGCGGTTACTGCTTAAGACTCATACACTAGAAAGAAGCAGTTATCCACTGTTCCTTGGTTTCCAATGTTTTGCCGAATGATTTCTTTCCCCTGATAACATTTGACTGTAAAGGTTGGTTGTCATGTCTTCAGGGAAAAAGCAGCTATTTTATAGGTTTTAACTTGTGTTATTGTTTTTCTTTACGTTCCCAGTGGAACATAGGGCTTCATAAGCTACAAACTTGAAGTTTCGGTAGCTGTGGCGTTTATTTTTATGGGATGGGGTGGCTAGCCTCATGCCCAACCTTCCCTCTTTACCAATCTAATTACTGGTTCAACGAGGTAAAGGAGTGGGTCGATGGCCGGGAATTGAACCCCGAACCATACGTGGTTGATGACCATTCTACCTCTGTGCCACCAACGCACACTTAACTTGTACTCCTTGGTGTTAAAGACCAAATTACCAACAGTAAACTTCGCAAGATGCAGACAATTATGGTACACAGCGCAGTCAATCTGAAGGAATTAACGAGGATTACGCATAAGACTTAAGTTGATTAAACAGCTAGTTATTTGGTTAGAATTTAATTTGGTCCAATTAATCGACGGGAAAATCTAAACTTCAATTAAATAATTAATATGACCCGTTGCACAAGAGGTGGCTCTCGTGACCCAAGTGGTCTAGTGGATAACGCTTTGGCGTTTGAAACAGTGGGCACTGGGTTCGAACCTTGGTGGGAAAACCGTCAATCACTGAGGAACGCGGGTACGTCCAGATGGCAAACGAGTCCCAGACAGGACGAAATACGCATACTGGATTCCACTGCTAGACACCATTTACCAATTAAATTCTAATTACATGCCTAGATATCGTCGAAGCATCTGCACAAGAAGCCGACATGTCAACCTGAGACCGAGCACTTCGGTCCAATCAATCGACGGGAAAATCTAAAATTCAATTCAATAAGTTATTGGTTGTCAATTGAAGTCGATACTCATTCAGAGTGCTAGTAAAAAACCAAAAGTTTAATATAAAAACGCAGTGTATCGAAGAAACAAAACGAAAACGAATTCGGCATCCTCTGAACAAATGTCAAAAATACCGGAAAATAACGCAAATACAGTAATACGATGGGGACAGGAGGCGAACATATGAAGGTCAATACAGTATGCTAAAATATACTCTATATTATCGAAATTAACTTTAGACAATGGTATAATGAGTGTTTGCGTCGGTGGCACAGCGATTAAGACGCTCGCCGACCATGCACATGGTCCGGGGTTCGATCCTCGGCCACCAACGCACTCCTTTACCTCACTAAACCAGGAATAATGCTGGTATAGAGGAAAGGTTGGGCATGAGGCTAGCAACCCCATACTGTAAAATAAACACAGCTACAGAAAATTCAAGCCACTAGTCTGAGGCCCTATGTTCCACTGGGAACGTGAAGGAAATAAGAATCATGCGTCTTCAACTTCTGCACTACAAAAATGTCAACATAGATCAAATATTTCTCAGCCGTTATGGCTGATACTGGTTCACATTCATAGTAATTTATTTATCTTTCTTATCTCAAAATATAGTTTCAAGTGTCTAATTATTAGGATGCAACCTTCAAGGCAAACACAAAGTAAAATAAGAGCAAAACGCATCAAACAACCTAAGATTGAACAACCGAAAAAAGATTAATGTACTATGAGGTAAGTCAAGTTTGGCGTATTGTTTTACACTGGAAAACGCTTTACTTTTTGATACATCCAATAAGAAGTAGGCTACAGATCATAAAATTAACCCGAACCTCCGTGAAAACCAACTGATAATCAGATCCAGTTTCACAGGAGACAATCAACAAACTGAAGAATCCAAATTTTTTTATTTTAATGAGTATACAATAATGGCTTATTTACAATAAACTGAAATTTTACATAAAATTTATCCATACAATTATGTGTAAGAGCAAGAGCGATTTGCTCGGACGAATGTCTTGATGAAGAACTGAATAATATTAAACGGTTGCTAAGTGAGAATGGTTATCCTGAAAAGTTTATTGATAAGAATATGAATTTGAAACCAAAGCAGCCGAAGTTACCAACAGTTCCAAAAAAGGCCTTATTCTTTCAGATGCAGTTCCTTGGGGACAACACTAGCGAGATACGAACACAGCGTATTAGAAATGCGGTAAAACGAGCATTCCCTGCTGCTGAATTACGTTGTATCTTTAAGACTACTTCTCTTCTGCGTTCGGGAGTAAAAGACAAACTGCCTAATATCGCCTCATCCATGTGTATCTACCAATTTAATTGCTCCTATGGAGCCAGTTACATAGGCCGCACAATTAGGCGTGTTTCTCGTCGAATTTCCGAACATCACCCTGCGTGGTTAACCAAAGGCCAAACAAAATCTATCCGTAGCGCTATTTTGGCTCATCTGGTGGATACAGAACATAGGATTGATGTTAACCAAGCTTTCAGAGTTATTTATCGGATACCAACAAATCTCAACTTCGCCTTAAGAGTTCGATTACTAAATATTGCTGAGGCTGTTTGGATCCACATTAAAAAGCCTAATTTGTGCGTCCAAAAGAAGTTAGTTCAGACGCTGTCCCTACCTTGGCCATCTAGGTTTGAATGATTCTCAATTTTCGTGAAAATTTCCTAATTTTAGTTGATATCCTACTCGCTATTATATCTTTATTACTATTATAATTTAAGTATTTTTAGTGAACTGTAATTGCATTGATCTTGCTTTACAAATCGATATTTAAAAAACACTAATATTGTTATTAACTACCAACCTTGAATATTCTGTGTATATAAATATGTATATAATTGTAGAGCCAGAAGAGGAATTTATCGAAAAGAATATTCTTTGCTCGATTATGTTGAGTTTTCTCTTTAACAATAAATGAAATCTGTTTTATGAACACATTGAACAAGTAGGTAAATACATTGATTCGTTGGAGGCGATCGGCCACAGGATGCCTTGGACCTACATTTCGTGCTAGTTAGCACTCGCCAGTCAGCAAGGCCTATCTGCAACCTTGAAAGAACTCATGTCCCTTCTGAGATTCGAACCCGCATTAACCAGTGCCGCCTGTAGTCAGAGACGTTACCACTGAGCAATTCGGGGTGTCTCGCAATTGACCTCTTGTAGAACTGTAGTGGGTATTTTGATTGGACACTAGTCAGTAAGTAGTGCGACGTGTCCAGTCCTTTCTTTGTTTGGTGCAGACTGAATTCCATCAGTCAGGTTTGCAATGTGGCCACCATTCTAGGTCGCTCGCCATCACGGTGCACTATGATATAGCATTGTTCACTGGTAGCTTTATCAAAACTAAGATATGTTGTTAATTATTCTCTAGGTAAATGTAACATCAATAATCACCTTCAGTAGAAGATTTTACAAGTTGAGGGGATTCAGGGGATTCTATTTAGTAACCTGACTAATTAAAGAAAACAAAACACAGTTTGAAATGGAATTGAAAGCATATCACTTATATCACAGTGATACTTTTGATGGTGACGACGACAAGACGTTCAACAGTCAGTGCCGAAGCTTGTTATAATCGTCTACTTTTTGCCTGAAACTTTAAAATAACTATTGGAAGGAGTTATCGCGCACGTGAGCCGTTTGTTTTTCCCTCTGTTAGATTGCTGGATTTCTATAGGCTGTTAATACTTTTATTGCATCACTGAATTACTGCATTTTCAAGGTCATTCCAGCTATATATACACAGTTTCTGACTAGTATTTTGACTGTTGTTTAAGACAGCATGAGATCTCTTATCGACGTCCAGTCTTTTCTTTTGTCTTTGCATGCCGGCGCTGTTGTTGACGTGTGCTTATGACAGATTAGCCAGCGCATTAAGTTAGTATTCACACATAGTCTACTAGGTCGTTGTTCCAGTCATAACAACAATACCTGCAGTCTACATAAATTATAGAAACAATTATGAGTCGATTTGCAGTGGAATTCAAGGTATCTCATCTGTAGCTAAGTTTAACAGTAAGCACATATAAAGCGATTGGATTTGAACTAACTGGAAACACGTAATTTCTCTTAGTGAACTTCAGTAAATAAAGCTTGTTAAGCAAAGGAATATCCAGAAAATTTGGAATTAGTATTGTTTTCTGTGCTGGTTGGTTTAGTTGCGGAGCTTTCGTTGTCCTTCTGGACAAAATCCTCCTTCAGCTAAATTTTTAGCATAAAGTGAACTGATTTAAATTTTCCATGAGTGATAGAATCGCGTCTCCCTGCAACCATCTTTACATGTGTATTGACCATTTTCTAATGACTTGGGTTTTAAACTTTCTGGTCACATGATCTACTTTTTATTAGTCGGTAGATTTGGTCTATATAAACATGCTTGTTAATTGAATATTCAAGTATTGGTTTCGTAGGGATTTCTGTTTGATTGGATGGAGGATTTCATCATGAGCTGACATCAATTAGAGAACCACTGGAAAACCACCTGGGAGTACTGATCAGCTGTCTCGTCAGCCTAGTTTGGGAATCTTCATCAGTAAGCACCCACCGCCACAGTTCGAACCCAGGACCTTCTGGTTACAAGGCGAGCTCGAAAACCATTGAGCCATTGGGACCCGATCCAATGGTCCTTGAATTCTAACTTCTGCAAATTCACAACATAGCGCAACCATTTCCCAATGTCTTCTTCGATGAGTTACTGACTCATCTTCAACCAGCTGTACCCTACTGGTCACGGCTTCCCAATAGAACCCCAGGTTAACTGCCTGATGAATAGGGCAGTTTTCCAGTGGTTCTCTAGCTGATGTCAGCTCATGATGAAATCCCCCATGCAATTGCATATTCGTTTGAGTACCAGGCTTCTAAGAATTCCCTGGCACTTTTGGTGTTTTCTCTGTCTAAAACTTCAACATTATCCTCATTAAACTGATGTCCATAATTATCTATATGCATTAATATGAAAGCATATATATATGTCATGTTATTTCACAGCTGATTTGTGTTCTTGGATTCTGATTCGAAGGGGACGTCCACTGAAATAACCGCAAGAATATTGAATCCGTTTGAAATAAATATAGCACACAAGCCAGCCACTCAAATCACTTCATTTGATATTGTGCAAACCGAAAGATTCAACAGAAAAAGGAGAACACTATTAACTGCAAATCATCCATCCACCTGAGCTACACATCTTCTCTATTATTTGAATATCCACAAAATATTAACATACTAATCAATTCCTATTTTAATATACTCAGTATAATATAAAAAGAATTTTTCGCATAAGTAAGTGTAAACCCGCTTACCCTATAGTTAATCTACTACCAATTATCTAGAATATTAGTCACTTATTAACAATCACTGTGCCAGATGACAGTCCGCATACAATAGCGATTATGACACATTAATTAAGACAAGCAAATTTATCATTCACTTACTAGGGTTCAAAATCCAATAGCTTGTGAATTCTAACTTCTTTCTGTAAAAGTGCTTGTTATTTATAGTGCCATGATGTTCCAACCAAGCAGATAAAATGGTTAACCTATATGCCATGAGTTCGATACGTGTCAAGCTTTTGAAAGATGTAAAAGCTTTAACTTACTTTGAGTTTATGTAAACTAATAGTATAGTTAGTGGATCTAAGAAATGTAAGAGTAAAACTGTTCCACGCCTTGAAGATGCAATTGCCTTTAAATTTTCTAAAAAATCTGTATTGCACATAAGGTTAGGTAGATTATCTTCTGATATTTGACGCTTGGAATTGCCTTCTAAAATTTCCAATCTCAGTTGAACAGTTGCATTGATAGGACCAAAATCTTCAATCACCTCTGAGATGACTTTACGTCGAGACTGTCGAGTGATCTAGGTAGAAAAGTGTATTAGATAACAATTTATTCAAAAAACAAAACAGTTACAGCTTATTTTTATTACAATAATTTCTGCAGTTTGTCAGCAATTAAAACGGAACTCTGAAAGGTTACTGAGGACAGACAAAAATGGAATAAGTATGCATTACTAAGAAGTCAACTGCAGTAGATACTAACTAATCTTCGGCAAAGTTCCAATTAAAAAGAGATATTATTTTAAAAAAAAGAATAAAACAAATATAAAGTAACGAAAGCTTATGTAGGGTTATATATGTATGCGGAAAATGGAAAACAATTCACGTGTTAAGCGTGTGGAGGTGTGGCCGATTACAAGTTCGTTACAAACCGACTACGATGAACAAACACTGAAAATTAAGCGGCACTGGATGCATGTTTTGTCTCTGTCTTTAGGATGGGTTAAGCGGAGACTCAATTCAGATATAAAACGTAGGTACCAATAGAAGATATCATGCCAAGGTTACAGCTATGTATGACTTCAACAGTTTCAGAGAAAAGCATACGAGCAAAATAAGGGGAAGGGGTCATCTCTACCCCCCTATTGTGCAGATACAGTTAAGTATAAGTGTGGAAAGATGGTATTATAGACGCCAATTTACGTCAATATTTACATCCCAAATCGAGGTCATGAGAAAAAAAAATCAAGAACAAAGCCCAACCTTGAGGAACTCGACAACCGATCACAGTACACTTAGCGTGGGTGGATACGATTCGCAGATATATAACTCGACTGTCTAAGAAACGGCCACAAACAGATAACAGAATAACCTTCAGCAGGAAAACAACCAATCAGAACACGTGGCTTCTCTGCTAATGATAACGAACAACAACGTACATAAAAATCTATAAATATCTGTTGATTTTCTCAAGTAAGTAGGGTTTTACTGCATGAGATGTCCAACAAGCAAACTAATATGGAATTGTGTGCTCAATCTTCACACACAAATGTCAAAACACTTGATAATGAGCGATACCTTCTTGTCTGGTGCTGCACAGACCTCCGTAGATGAACTGGTATTTCAAAACCTCAATTTATATATAAGTTAAGGACGGAATTTAGAACATAAAAACCTTAGTTACAATTTATGCCCACTGATTGAGGGTAGATAAACAGAATACTCGCTTCCCAGATCATTAGCAATCAGTGAAACACAATGCTGTGGATAGGTTTACGCAGTCCTGTTTTCCTATTTTAAAAAATGCTGACGGTGTTAGATGTGTTTCTCAAATGATGCGCGTCTATGTTATTTATTTAGAAACGTTTTCTTAAAAAAAAACAGTCAGACAGAAACAAGAAAAATAGCTTAGTTTCGTGGTTTGACATTCTAGACGGATATATGTGGAAATCTTTATTTATCGTCCTTGAATTCGTTTCCACTGAAAATCTCTCATTTTAGCATACGTAGCTGATCATAAGGTCGTTTGAATACCAATTTTGTGTACGGGTGGAAATGCAATGCGCCATGACAGTACCTTAAAAGCCACAAAATACAATAGAATTACATCTGTTCAGTGTGCTGCAGATTTGATTCATACATTAACCTTCAGTACTTACCACATGCACTTCAATGTCGAATATTGCCCCCACCGGTCGATGATCACTAGTCTTCAACTCAGCTCTGTTATACAACAATAATTGACCCGGATTCCATTTTACATCAGGAGAATTATTCTGCATACAAACTATACCATCTTCATCTGTTTTAGGAAATGCTAATTTTACCCGACGCCAAAGTATACGATCAGTCCAGGCTGGTGAACGTGCTTTCTCCGATGTATCATAGTCATCACAGAATAAATCATACTTGTATGTAGGCGCAAAACGTATTGGTCCTTCTTCGAATCCACGAAAAACATTACCAGCCTGTTTTTCAATAGTCAACTGATCAGAACGCAGTAGATCAAGCCAAGCAGATTGTGCAGTTAGCCGTTTCACTTCATTTCCTGATAAATTAATACGATAGTTAAAATCACCGCACCAAAATACATAATCATGACTGAGGATATTACGTCCATTCGGTAGGCTAAGACGACGACAAATCTCTTGAAAGTCATCATTACGTTCACGAACAGCTGACTGACCTGCTGCAAAATGACTACAGACGAAACAAATCGATGTAGCACCCAACTATAAAAATAAAAAAGACGAAACTATACGAATAATGAGTGGAAAAAGCATTAACACAATCTTTTAAAGTTCATTTCAATAATCATATAAAATAGGTTTGAAATAAAAGCATGATCCACTTTTGCTGCTTTACTGTCATAAACCATTATTAACCATAAACAAATCATTACTGTCATACAGTGTCGGTGATACAGCGGTTAAGACGCTCGCCGACCATGCATATGGTCTGGGGTTCGATCCCCGGCCAACGCACTCCTTTACCTCACTAAGCCAGAAATAATACTGGCAAAGAGGAAAGGTTGGGCATGAGGCTAGCAACCCCATCCTGTAAAATAAAACACTGATAGAGAAACTTCAAGCCACTAGCTTGAAGCCCTATGCTCCACTAGGGAACGTGAAGGAAAAAACTTTAAAAAAATGTCATAAACCAGATAATCAAGATAAAAAATGAATGCAGTGGGTTTAAGCGGGTATAACATTTCACTCAAAGGTTGTGACTTTATGCCACTTATGCACAGTAATAAGCGTCGATGCTTCAGTGGTAGAACATTAGACCGACCGAGCTAATGGTTCAGGATTCGAAACCCGACCGACTGATTCTTGTACTCCGTTTAGTCGATAGTAAGTGCTGTAAAGAGAGAAGGTTGTTTGTGATGTTGGCAACCTTATCCTGTGAAAATAACATCACTGCTACTTTAAAACTTCAAAGCTGTAGCTTGAAGCCCTATGTTCCACTGGACTGGGAACGCAAAGGAACAAAATAATAAAATAATAATACACACAGTAATTCAAAGATATGATAAGAAACAGGAATTTCCCATAATTTTTACTTTCTTCAAAAATAAAAACACTTGAGAATGGATGTGAAACCAAACTGTAAAATTTAAACAATTAAAAAAAGGGCACTATTAAACAGGCTAGAAGAAAATAACTATATTGTCTAAGTGTTATAATTTCCACCCAACTAATCCAAAAAAGTCATATGAACAGCCAAATAAATCGCTTGATTTTAAGTAGTTGTCAGAGAAAAATTGACTCCAAATCAATAATCCATCGAGGGAAAATAAACCATGTGGTGAATGTCTGTATTTTTACAAGGCGAAGCGACTGATTAGTAAAAAAATATTTTATCGATTGATACTGTTTCAAGTATTGGTTTTGTAGGGATTTTGTTTGATTGCATAGAGGATTTCATCATGAGCTGACATCAGTTAGACAGCTATTAGAAAACTAGATGGGAGTATTGGACAACTGTTTCGTCAGCCTAGTTTGGGACTCTTCAACAATACGCACCCACCGCCACGGTTCAAACCCAGGACCTTCTGGTTACAAGGCTAGCGAGCTTGTAGACCATTGAGCCATTGGGACCCTATCCAATGGCCAGTCTATGAATTCTAACTACTGCCGATTCACGACATAGCGCGACCATTTCGCAATGTCTTCTTCGATGAGTTACTGTCTCATCTTCGACCTCCTGTACCCTACTAGTCACGGCTTCCCACTAGAACCCAAGGTTAACTGCCTGAATAGGCCCAGTCGCTAGTGAGCATCAGATGAATTTTTCGAGTATTGGTTTTGTAGGGTTTTGGTTTGATTGCATGGAGGATTTCATCATGAGCTGATCACTTGAAAACCTGGGTAGGTGCGTACGGGTGAAGAGTCCCAAACTAGGACGAAACAGGCGGTCAGTACTCTCAGGTTTTCTAGTGGTTCTCTAACTGATGTCAGCTCATGACACTGTTTCAACAAAGCCAATTCAACTATCTTCCAATACTTTTTAAAACGAAGTACTCCAATAGGTGTAATAAAGCGATCAAATATCAGAAGATAACATTTCTCTGAATACACATGTTTTAATGAAGAGCAACGGATGAAATTATCAACTGGACGGGTGCACAAATGAAGCACTGATAATGAAATTTTCTAAGAGCAACAGTAATTATTGGTGAACCGTTAAGATAAATACTACTTACAGTTATTTAATTCAATTTTAGACTTTCTCGTCGATTGATTTGACCGAAGTGCTCGGTCTCAAGTTAACATGTCAGGTTCTCGTGCAAATGCTTCGACGATGACCAGTCACGTACCTCGAAGTCAACTGGTGGATGGTGATTAGCAGTGGAATTCAGGACAAGCCGCATTTCGCCCTATCTGGGACTCGTCTGCCATTTGGATGTACCTGCATTCCCCAGTAATTGACGGAGTTCTCATCAAGACTAGAACCCACTGCCTACAGTTTCAAACGCCAAAGCGTTATCCACCAGACTACTTGGGCCACGAAAGCCACCTCTTATGCAACGGTTCTTATCATTTATTTAATTCAAGTTCAGATTTCACTGCTAGTCACCATCCACCAAGTTCTATTATCTCACCTAATCTATTTTATTTTGTGAACTAGAGGTTGAGGTGTAACATCCCAGGTAAGAAAAAAAACACCAATTGAAGTTTCTGAATAATCATGTCCAACAATAGTTGGTTTTTGACGTACAAGGTTAGTTAACATAAAATTAATTTGAAAGTGAAGGTTATTCATACCCTGAAGATGCTCCCTTTTGATCTGCGAGGAGAATTGTGAGTCATCTGCTTAAGAAGCAACTAAAACCATGTAAATAAGGAATATCTGCGCCAGTCCTTTTCTAAAAGGGACTCACACATTCTAGAAAGGGTTCAAAGGAAGGCAACACGTATGGCTCACGGCATGACTAACTTGTCATACGAAGAAAGACTAGACAGTTTAAATCTCTTCTGCCTGTTATACCGTAGGTAGAGAGGAGATTTAATCACAATGTTTAAAATTTTAAATAATGACTGCGGACCTGACCTGTTCTCTCTTTTCGTTGCCACCAGGTCGGAACACCTTAGAGGACATATCAGGAGAATTCAAAACCCAAGAAGAAATCATGTTGCTGCTGAGTACTAGTTCTCACGCCAAGTCATAAACTCTTGGAACCGACTCCCTGAAGAAGGAGTGTCTGCAACCTCAACTGATTCGCTCAAGAAGGGTTTGGACAACTACAGAAATTTACTAGAAAAGGATTAGGATTAACATAGGCTCTAAGCCTTCTATCCTCAAACAATAAATCTGAAATCTTGTGAGTTGAATCAAAGTAGGACAAACCCTCACTCATTTTGTGAGTCTGATGATACTATCGAGACTGCATCAGGTGATCAGGATTCAAATATTGCACCTACTATCTGAAATTTGTGCGTCGGTGGCACAGCGGTAAGGACTGTCGCCGACGATGCATATGGTCCTGGGTTCTATCCCCTGCCGATGCACACCCGGTATCAACGGTCGGCCTGCAAAATTTGGGCTACCGATATCACATGCTGAAAATTCCATACTTGTACCAAAAACTGTGGTGTGGAAGCAAGCTATAATCGAAGAAGAAGAAGAATTGAAATGGATCATTCACACACTCCCTTCCTTTGTCTACTCTGCTTTTTTCTTTCGTATTGAACGAAATCTTTCAATTCGTCCATCATATAATTTTACTTCTTTTTTTAAATTTCTTCTCATTACCTTTTACTTGACATGTGAAAGTGAGGCGTGGCAAATTGAGCAAACAAATCAGTAAAATCCATTTTTCTATGTCTGCACTACCTTAAAGATAAGAAGGATTATATTATGATAAATACTATATACTCTCTTGGATTAAAATCAATATGGATTTGTGATTATTATTATTATTGTATACATGAATTTGAATTGAAGCAAGATTCACCACGCTAATAGTCCTTAATTTATTAATAATTTATATCATTCCATGGACAAGAACACCAAACTGAAAACAAGACTTTAATGTCATAATAACTATATAAGTATTTTAGATGACTGTTCATAATCAATTATTCATAACTGAACGAAACAAACTACTAGATTGATTTCCAGTAGTACAACTAGTTTTTGTGGAAAAAAGTTGAAAATATTTTACGATTAATAATAATAATAATGGTAACATGTGAATTCTTAGATTATTACATGTAATTTAAGGTCAAAAATCATAAGGAAGATTAAAATTTATTTGTGAAAATAAAAAAATGGTTCTATAGATTAGAATGAATGACAGTATATAACAAGAAAGGTTGAGATGGGATACAAAAGTGCTTACAAGACTATAACTTCATTTTATGCTAGCCTTCGTTTGCTGAAATGAATCTGCATTATTATCATTAATTTTATTGTTTCCTATAGTTCCTAGAGGAACATAGGGCTTCAGCCGCATGTCTTCATTGAATTCCGTTCCCTGCCAACGTTTTCACCTGGCTCCTGGCACGTCTGCCCATATGCCTCCATCGTTTCTTCAAATGACCTCCTCCATGTCACCCCACTCTCGAACTGATGACCAACTCGCCACTTAACCGCTCGGGTCCCACTCGAGTGATGCCACTCACTTGACGGTTTTTTTCTCAGAGTATGGTCAATCAGTCTACCTCCATTTCTTCCTGCTTATTCGTTGCACAATCAGTTCCTGCTGGGTTGGTTCGCTCATTGCCAGAGATCCCTGTTGATGATCATTTCTGGCTATCTGATCTTGAACGAAATACTGGGCGAAGACAGCTGTTGATGAAGGTCTATAGTTTGTTTGAAGTGCTCTTGATGACGCACAGTGAAAGTCTCCATAAAGCAGCACTGACTTCACATTGGAGTTGAAAATCCGGATCTTATTTTTGATGGTGAGTGCTGTTGACTTCCACACAGACTTGAGAGTAATGAAAGCTTGCCTTGCTTTCCCGATCTTCTCTGCTTTGATATCCTCGTCAGTTCTGTCGGCCTGTAGTTGAAATGATGCCTCCCAGTTAGGTAGGTAAAGGAGGTTGTTTCTTTCAGGTTCCTCCCATTCATGATGGCTGATTGGTGTCTGTTGTTGTCGTTGCTGTTGGTGTTGGCCAGAAATCCTCATCACCTACCTCTGTTTTATCTATGTTCACCTGAAGTCCTATCTTCTCTGGCTGGTTCTTCTGTCAACTTGTTGCTTTTCACTTCCATATCTTCCAGT